CTGGCCAGCGGCTCCGGTCGCCGGGGCGTCCCCGACCCCGGGCGCGGCCGGACAGGAGTAACGAGGAACAGCTCGGCACGGGCCCAGATCCGGACCGTCTCAGAACCTGGAACAGAGGCTGGAGAGAACACTTGGAAACATGGACTGCAGGTAGGGCTTATTTATATCAGTCCTGGAGTGATCCCAGTGCTGATCCCAGTGCTGCTCCAGGAGTGATCCCGGTGCTGATCCCAGTGCTGCTCCAGGAGTGATCCCGGTGCTGATCCCATTGCTGGTCCAGGAGTGATCGCGGTGCTGATCCTGGTTCTGGTCTCAGTCTTGGTCTCGGAGACTCCTGGTGTTGATCCCAGTCCCTGTGCTGGCCTTGGTCTCAGTCTCGGAGCAGTCCCGGGGCACTCCCGGAGCCGATTCCGGTCCCGGCGTCGATCTCAGTTGCGGAGCGGTGCCGGTCCCGGTCTCAGTCTCAATCTCGATCTCGCTCCCACTCCCAGTGCCAGTTGAATTTAGCCCTTTTCGGGTGATTTTAGGTCCCTTTTGGGCGTTTCAGGCCAGGTTGGGTGATGTTGGGGCTCTCTGGGTGATTTGAGACAAAACCAGCAGCTTTCAGGGTGGATCTTGCACCCATTTGGGAGATTCAAGGGTGATTTTAGGCCATTTGGAGTGGGTTTGACACCACTTTGGGGATTTTTATGCCCTTTTGGTTGCACTTTGGACCCCTTGGAATGATTTTAACCCCATTTGGCTGATGTTAGGCCAAACCATGCGGATTTAGCGCGGAGTTTAGGTCCCTTTGGATTGTTTTGTTTTTCACCTTTGTTTACCGAAATATAAGCAGTATTACCCCATTTTTTTCCTGTTTTTGTCATCAAAGCCTTCATAAAAATTGCCCCAAATGTTCTCAAAATCCTACAAAATTCCAGAAAAAATCCACAAAATTCCAGAAACATCCCACAAAATTACCAAAATCATCTCAAAACCCTACCAAATTCCAGAAACATCCCACAAAATCCCCACAAATTTCCACAAAATCTAAGAAAACTCCCACAAAATTCTTCATATCTCCTCAAAATCCCACAAAATTCCAGAAAAATCCCTCAAAATTCCAGAGAAATCCTAGAAAATAAAAGAAAAATTCCAGAAAAATCCCACAAAATTCCCTAGATCTTCTCAAAACCCTACCAACTTCCAGAAACACCCCACAAAATCTCCTCCAATATCCATAGCATTCAAAAAAAATCCCACAAAATACTTTGTCTCCTCAATATCCCACAAAAAATGCAGAAAAATCACACGAAATTCCCTAAATCTTCTGAAAACCCTACCAAATTCCAGAAACAACCCACAAAATCTCTACAAAATCTCCACAAAATTCCATAAAAACCCCACAAAATTCCACAAAAATCTCACAAATTTACAGAAAAATCCCACAAAATTCCAGAAAAATCCCACAAAGTTATTTAAATTTTCTCAAAATCCTACCAAATTCCAGAAACATCCTGCAAAATCTCCTGCAATTTCCACAACATTCAAAAAAAATCCCAGAAAATTCCAGAAACATCCCACAAAATTCCCTCAAAATCCCAGAAAATTACAGCAAAATCCCACAAAATTCCAGAAAAATCGCAGAAAATTATTTAAATTTTCTCAAAATCCTACAAAATTCAGCAGTCCCATGAAATTCAAGAAAAATCCCACAAAATACCAGAAACTTACTAAAAAAAATCCGTAAATCTTCTAAAATCCAACCAAATACCAGAAACATCCCACAAAATCTACTCCAATTTCCACAAAATCTAAGAAACATCCCTCAAAACCCTACAAGTCTCTTAAAAACCCCACAAAATTCCAGAAAAACCCCACAAAACATTTCAACGCCCCTCAATATCTCACAAAATTAAAAAAAAATCCCACAAAATTCCCTAAATCGTCTCAAAACCCTACCAAATTCCAGAAACATCCCACAAAATCTACTCCAATTTCCACATAATTTCATAAAAATCCAACAAAATCCCCTAAATCTTCTCAAAACCCTACCAAATTCCAGAAAAATCCAAGAAAATCTACACAAATTTCAACAAAATTTAAGAAAAATCCTCAAAATTCTTCATGTCACCTCAAAATCACACAAAATTCCAGAAAATTCCACAGCATTCCAAAAAGATTCCCAAAAAATTCCTGAAACTTTCCACAAAATCCTTCATGTCTCCTCCAATTTCCACAGAATTCCAGAACCATGCCACAAAATCTCCACAGATTTCCACAAAATCTAAGAAACCTCCCTCAAAATTCTTCAAGTTCCCTCAATATCTCTCAAAATTCCACAAAAACCCCACCAAATTCCATCAAAATCCCACAAAATTCCAGAAACATCCCACAAAATTCCCACAATGTCCCTCAAATTTCAGGAAACGCTCCATAAAACTCCAGAAAAATCCCACCGAATTCCAGAAAAAGCCCACCGAATTCCAGAAAAATCTCACAAAATTCCCTAACTCTTCTGAAAACTCTACCAAATTCCAAAAACATCCCACAAAATCTCCACAAAACTCCAGAAAATTCCACAACATTCCAAAAAAATCCCACAAAATTCCAGAAACATCCCACAAAATTCCCTAAATCTTCTCAAAACCCTACCAAATTCCAGAAATATCCCACAAAATCTACATAAATTTCAACAAAATTTAAGAAAAATCCTCAAAATTCTTCATGTCGCCTCAAAATCACACAAAATTCCAGAAAATTCCACAACATTCCAAAAATATTCCAAAAAAGTCCAGAAACTTTCCACAAAATCCTTCATCTCTCCTCCAATTTCCACAAAATTCCAGAACCATGCCACTAAATCTCCACAAATTTCCACAAAATTTAAGAAAAATCCATCAAAATTCTTCAAGTCTTCTCAAAATCCCACAAAAACCAAAAAAATTCCACATCATTCTATGAAATCCCACCAAATTCCAGAAACATCTTACAAAATTGCAGAAAAATCGCACAAAATTCCATAAATCTTCTCAAAACCCTACCAAATTCCAGAAACATTCCACAAAATCTCCTCCAATTTACACAAAATTCCACAAAAATCCAATTAAATTCCAGAATAATCCCACAAAATTCCAGAAAAGTCCCACAAAATTCTTTAATCTACATTTGCCTTGGCAATTGTAGATCCCAGCTGCTCTTGCCCCTCTTCTGCTTGCCACCTGAATTTTAGAAGTACAACTGCAATTGCCTCTTTCAATCAGTGCTGCCCACTGTGCTTTTGTGACAGGGAACTCAGGATTTTTGTTTCAGGCATCATGATCAGTAGAGATCAAAATGCTCCCAAGTCCCTGAGCACTAAGTCAAGGGGAATTAAAGCCACACAGGTCACATTTGTAGTGCTCAAACACAGCCCTGTTGCTGCTGCTGCTGAAATAGGATCAACTGACAGAGGCCATCACAGAAATTGCCTCTGCAGTGGCAAAGAAAATGAAAAAATCCACCAGGAGAAAGAAAAACCAGAACTTCCCAACTTGCTTCATTGTTTCTTCTGAGCAGCAGAAGAAAAAGGAACAGGGCACCTTTCAGGCAGTTCCACAAGCTCAGGGTTCTCATTTCCTGGGGAATCTGAGATGCAATTGGCCTTGTTAAAAGGATAAAAGCAAAGGGAATGAATTGGGAATTATTAGGAAAAAATGACCCTTCTTACACACAAAGTTCACCAAGTCATTCCCTGCATTTCTCCTTTTCACATTCTTTCTCTCATCCACTGAGAGGTCCAGCTTATCATGTTCTGGTGCTTATCATCAACTGATTGTGCTCTTGATTCCTCCCACTGCAAGAGATGTAGAATCATCTAAACTGAACACAGATACAAAATCCCTCTGTCAGCCCATCTTCATGTTCCAGATCACTTTCAAGATGTCCATGGGACATTTGGAATGATTAGTTCTCCACTGCTGGCTGCAGGCTCTGGAGATTCTTTCTCCACATTCAGCCAGGCTTGTATTCCCCAACAATTCCTGGTAGCCCATCATGTTTTCTTTGGGTAGAAGAGTAACAATGAAAACTGTACCAATGGCACAACTGCCCAGTGCACAAGGAAAAGAAAGAACAAGTTATCAAGTTCTTCAAATATTTGTCCTGCTTTGCTGCAAGAGTTGTGCTGCACTCACAGTGTGGGAAGCCAAGAGAAGTTGCAGCTGGGGGCACATCTTGTGACAGGAGCTGCACCTCATTCTCCAGGAAAGGTTTTTGGAAAGAACAGACAGGACTGTGGAGAAGATTCTGGGAAAACTGAAACAGCTTTTTTAAGAAATGAAAATAACATCAAAAGAAACAACCAATATGTTTTTTTCTATTTTTATCTATTTATTTTTATGTTCCCCTTTTCCATCTTGC